CGCCTTATGCTCCCTTTCTTGCTCCTGCTTCAGCAGCAGCCTATGATTTTGCCTTCTGATGGCCTCGGTATCCGGAAGATTGTCCGCATCACCTAAGAAGAATTTTATGAAAATTTTAATAAAGTCATAGAGCTCTGCGGACCTTCTTCAGCTTCATACTCATTAGCGACGTCCCCATCTTCATCGACATCACTTCCTACATCGTCACCGGATAGAGAGGCTTCATCGTCAAACCAGTTTTCGCGGTTTGCTCTGGAAGATATGGACAGTGAGCAGTTCAGCATTTACTGGACAGTTTTCGAAAAAGTTGAGGTTAAAATTGTTTCAAAAGAGTGAGATTAAAATGTAAAATTCAATGAGTAATAACATACTTTCGCTCAAACTCTTTCCTCTCTAATCTTCTTATCACCGCCAGTTCGTCGTCAGAATCCTCAGCTTCTTCTTCAATGTAATCTTTCGCTGCAAGTGATATAATGATACTCATGATGCGTACAATTTACAAAAATAATACCGTACATTTCTTTTCAGTGTCCAACTCCTTGCCTTCCTCTTCTTCAGTCTCTTCCATTTCTTCGTCTTCATCTTCTTCTGGCTCCTCGTCTAGAACTGTCTCGTCTTCCGCAGTTTTCCTCTCCTCATCCACTTCCTCTTGCTCTTCTACATTCTCATCACTATCGGAGTCAATGATGGCTCGCCGCAGATGGGTAAGGCTCTCTGTTTCCTCTTCCGCTGACTTTGCTTCTTCCGCTATTGCCTCAGCAACGTCCTGTATAATGTGACATTTAGAGAAAAATCAAAGCAGAGGGATTCACTGTTTACTTTCTCTTTAGCTTCATCCGCGATTCTATCAGCTGCATCATCGACTTCATCCTCGTCATCCGAAGTGACAAGTTTTCGCCTGCGTTTCTGCACCTGGGTGGTGTTCTTGTGCACTTCGTCTTCATCATCAGATGCTCTGAAAAATGCGAAATATACTCAGACATCCTGGGAATTCCAACAAAATTCTTCGTGATAGTTCTACAAAACATGTTCTCAATGTGAACAAAACATATGACTCATTTGGCTCAAAAACTAGCAATAGACAAAGAAATCAGCTGATAAAACTGTTCGCAGCTGAAGAAAACTCATCTTTCCAAAACTAATTGTCACCAACAAGTTTGAAAAAACTGTTATCATGGAATCTGAAGTTTAAGAATCAAAGTACCAGCACAAATAAGGTGTTAACAAGATATGAGAACAGGAAATTCAAGAAATAAAAAACATACTTTG